GTAGTATTCATTGTTATTCTATGTTGGGAGAGAAATAGAAGACATGGATTTGAAAGGAGTCAAATCGCCTTAAGAGTAACAATACAACAATTAGATGAATGGGGTTTTATTAAGAAAGTCCAGAGCAATGATCAAATGCATTAAAGTAGGAAATTTGTTTCATTCCACATTGCAAAATTTGTTTTATTAAGGTTCCTTAGGATTGATCTTATGTATGTTAAGGTAGAGCATAACTCAATCATTATATGCTAAATTTTGTAATTTTACCAACACCATTATCCCAAACTGATTATTAGATGCTGAGATGTGAGAAAGAGGGGGCTTTGAAATAAGATGACATAGGATAGACCTATGCATTACAAGGGGGGAAGGGTGTGATTTTAGAGTCTTCTTATAGCTTTTTTTTATCTTGCTTCAGCAAGAAAAAAGTACTTGTTTTGGTATTCTCTTTATCATAGTTGATATGATTCTAGAAGTTTCTAAGAATCACCCGAACTGACATGGGGTTTGAAGTGCTAATGTGATTGAACATGCCTTTTTTGAAGGGAATTGGACAACTGTTATTTATAAAAAGTGAATGCAAGATTTGCTTATATTAGAGTATGCTGAGACAATAATAACAATATGGTTTTACTAGATTTCTAGTGTTGTTTCAAGCACTGAATATATTATCCTGTATGGGAGACATGCAAATTAGATAACATCCAGTTTTTTTCTTTATATGATAAGGTTTTTGTTTACAAGCAATGAAATTTTCTTTGTTCATCATTCTCTCACCAGAAAACCTTTGTTTGCATTCTGTATCCAAGGCCTTGTACTTTTATCCAGAAAGGATACCCACTGCAACACGAGTGCACATGATCCGTCTTTTTGCTCGTATATCATTTTATTGAAAGCACATTTAATATTTCTGAATTGGTCATATTGATTTACAGTAAGTTTTAAGTTTCTATTTGTACTTGTCTCAGGACAAAAAATGAATCACCTCCAGAAGGTCGCTTGCCTGAAGCCACCAAAGGTCAGTTAGTGTTTTCATTTTCAGATCATAAACGGTCTCAGAAGCATATGTTTGATTCATTTTCCACTAGAGGTTCGGACCATCTGAGAGATGTCTTCGGCCACATGGGTCTTCGTGATAAAGACATTGTTGCCTTGTCTGGTGGTCACACCCTGGTCAGTTAGTAAACATGTAATTCTTCAGCTGCCTTCTTCGCAGATTGCAGCATGCTAGAGTGAACTGTTTCAGCTGTTCAATTTACATTTCCTTTCCATAGTGATTAAAGTTGAGTTCAAAAACTACATTTTCAGGGTAGGTGCCACAAGGAGCGTTCTGGATTTGGAGGTCCCTGGACTACCAACCCTCTCATTTTTGATAACTCCTATTTCAATTAAGATCAGTTCACCGCTTAGATGATAATGTTCCGTTTAACTCTAGTTTCAACAAGATTGCCTCACGAAATGTCCTTAAATGCTAAGGACCAACTTGTTAATTTTAGTCAATTCATCTTTGAAATAGGGAACTTCTCAGTGGAGAGAAAGAAGGCCTTATCCAGCTACCAACAGACAAAGCTCTTCTTGAGGATCCTGTCTTCCGCCCTCTTGTTGAGAAATATGCTGCAGTGAGTACCATACCATATCTATTACTTTGTTTCTTATAAATCTAGGTGTCACACAAAGGATTTATTAAACTTATGGCTATGGTAATTTGATTTAGGATGAGGATGCATTTTTTGCCGATTATGCTGAGTCTTATTTGAAGCTCTCAGAGCTAGGGTAAGTACGACAACCTACTTTTCATTTCTCTCCATCATTTCCTGCCTTTCCAACTTCTCTTGCACATATGCATAAATGTTCGTACCTCCAATTCTCTATGTAAATTGGATTGCAGATTTGCAGATGCTGACTAAGGTAGAAATGATGTGTTATGCTGGAAGTGCAGAGTTGGTGTGGATTGTGATGTGTTATGCTACCTTTGTGAATTGACTGTAGATGTAATACAATGATAAGTATGGGTGTGTGACTGTAATCTGTATGTTCCGTTGAATATTAATGTTAAATTTATGAGTATATATGGCTGCATGTGCAATTCTGCCATTCTGGTTTGGCATTCTTACCAAAAAAAAGTACTAGACTTTACAAGAAACAAAGTCTTAGAATAGCATGGGGATGACTGATTCCACTCTGGATTACAGATAAGGAAGGAGGGGAAAGAAAAGAGGGGAAAACATTCTTTTGGGAAAGTCATGACCAAGCAATATCTTATAAGGAATGACAGATAATTTTGTTGAAAGCTCTCAAAAAGCTGCTTAAAATGGAGGCCCATTGCCATGGGATTCTTTTTCCTATGCCAACTCTGTATATCACCTTCTAATATTTCAACTCGAGCTAATTGATTATTTATATGTTACTGAAGGAATTCCGGGTCGGTTATGACCCACCCGTTTAACCTAATTGAAAATATGAAAAATTACAAGAGGATAATATAATTACAATATCATATTTTTTTTATCTTGATTGGATGATGATAAGAAATCATTTTTTATCTCTTATTTCATTTCACACATATGTTATGTATTTTGAATTCAAAATTTTTTATTTTTAATAAAAAAAGTTATTATTAAATTATTTAAGTAGTTATTATATTTTTTTTAAATGGAGGAATTTTAAAAAAAGAGATAATTAACTGTTGCTCCTCCTGTATGGACAAACTGTAAAATAAAATTGGACACTTAAATAATTAACAAACTGTAAAACCATAAAGCAGGTTTCTTATTTTATTTTGTTTCTATCTAAAAATTATTCAGCTAGGAGGTTGCTCCTCCCCTCTGTTATGGTCAAAACACAGAGGAAAGTCTCTAATTTTTTTACTTTAAAATTTAATTCCAGTAATTGGAATTTATTTGAACAATTCAACTCATCTTATATATTCATGTTGGCTCCTTTCTGTATTTATGAGCATTGATTTTGGTTATTTGATTGTTTTAATTAATTATTTTCTAAGATTTCTTTTCTGAGATCGACAATTACCTGTACCATTTATCCGCCAATTATGATCTGATGGTTTTTCTTCTATCAAATTGTCCACACAGAAACAAGTGAAACACAGTGAGTGTTATTTTTACTTCAATCTATTTGTGTTTTTCAATAATTCCTCAGCAATGGAACTACAATTGTCGGTTGGAATTTAAAACTCTTAAAAACAACAAACGTAGATTGGCAAACTGATTTTCGCTTCAATAAAGCTTTTGATTCGATTGGGCACGTGGGTACACTAGAAATTACTAATAATACTAAATGAGATATTCAGAAAAAAAATAATAGAAAAGAAAAAGAAAAAAAAAAACGAAAATCGGTTTTTAGTCAATAAATTAAGTTTTTTTGCTGCTTTTAGCTTACAAAGCTTTAGGTGAACATATTGTTATTGTATATTACAATAATCAGTGTTAATTTTAAAACCAGATTTTTCACTATCTATAGACTGTAAAGGAAAATTTCACTTTTTGATTCTTCTTTCTCCACTAGAGTGGCATAGAGGCCATGTGAATCTCATACTTTAAAGTATTCCAAATTTGTTGCAGTTATTAAAGAAAGATACACTGAAAGCAATGCAAGAGGTGGAGCCTTCTCTTGGCTTAACAGGTCAGTCGGTTTTTCACTCTGAGAGGAAAGAATTCAAGCCCATATGCCTTTTTACAAAGAGGAGAATTTCTAGATCACGAAACTCAGGAGCCACCAAGTAACCAAGGTAACAATCTCTGTAAAAAAAAATAATACAAAAAGGGGAACATATTAGATAAAATAATTATTACTCAGAGGTCAAGTACACGAAACCTCACGTGTACCTATGGTCGCAGAAGTCAAGTCGCAGGAATCACATTGGCCAGGATAGGTATCGGAGGAATAGCTGTAAAGATGTTGGTGGAATAGGTACAGCATGGTTTAGGAAATTTAGTTGACAATAAACTTGACTTTTTGGAGTCTCCTAAAGCTACAAGCTGCTTTCATGTGATGGTGTTTGAAGCACAACCATGGGAGATTTGCAAAACCCCTCATCTCCTATTGTTGCTGAAAATAGGATTTCAACACAAATAGTCTCAAGCAATTTTAATCATAATTTATTCATTTTTAAAGGCTTCGTTTAGTATTAGCAGTAAAAGTAAAAATAAAGTGAAAATATTTTGTTAAAGTTAAAAATTTGATCTTAGAACCTTGACTTCGTCAACTCAATAACCCTACGTAAATATTTGAACTTTTAATTATCCAACAAAGAAACTGTTTAAAAAATGGTGTCAAAAAAGCATTCCATGTAAAAGGAATAGGATAGAATCAAATACTTCGAAAGTCCGTCAAACCATTTCATTCATGGTGAGTGTTGGGTCTTTGTCTAATATTGTTGTCGTAAATAAGAAACGATGAAATGTTCAGCAGCTATCCACATTCAAATCCTATCTATTCTATTTTAATTCTTAGTCCAGTATATTTTTTACTAATTGTAACAATGTGGAAAAAGTCAAGAATCGGACATGACTTTATTTACTAATTCGTAAAACTATTATATTACTATTACTAGTTATTAGTGTGCTCAGAGATGTACCATGTAAATATAATATTAATTAAAATTATTAATTATGATGTGCAAAGCCTAGTCCCTCCCTTATTGTACATAATATTATATATAAAATATTATACATGAATCATTTTACATTATAAAAGTATTTTTAAAAATAGTTTGTGTAAAAAGATTACATTATGAAATTGTTTTAACTATTCAATTTATAAGTCATGCTAAATTTAACTCTTTTTAAAGAAAAAGATGTAAAAATACTGATTAAATCTTTGCTAATTTACCTAACTTCTAATTATCTAACAAAGCAACTGTTTAGAAATGTAGTCAAACAAGCATTTCATGCGAAAGGAATATGATAGATCAAATACTTCAAAAGTCCGTCTACTACTAAAAATCTATTTTTCAACATGAGAGCATGTCAGTGAAAATACTTCCCATGTTGCTGAAAGTACTTCAACAACAACAACCATGTTATTGATATCTTTGTTGAAAAAGCTTTGATTGGTAATACATCAACAACAAGCTCCACGTTGTTGATCGATGACACTATTGTCAGCAACACACTCTTTGTTATTAAAAGTGGAGTTTCACTGATGTATTTTATGTTATCAAAAAAATACCAAAGCAAATCATTGGAATTTCTCACCTTTTTCAGCAATATACTCTTTCTTGTTGAAAGTATGGTTTATTGACATATCTTGTGTTGCTAAAAATACTCATCGGAATCGGTCATCGAAATTGTAGCACCCTTTTCAGCAACATGTTTCTTATTACTAATAATTTCCTAAATATTGTAGCACATTATTTTTAGCAACAAGGCCCTTGTTGCTAATAATCTCATGAATAGTATGGCCATTCCACTTTCAACATCAAGTCCCTTGTTACTAATTATCTACTAAACTTTCAATATCATGTTCCTTGTTGCTAATTATCTTGTAAATAACAAAAGTATGCACGCCTCTTGCCAATTAGCAAGATGTTCCACGTTGATTATGTTCAAAAATTTCATTTTTCTAATTGTTTTACTAATAAGTGATATGTTGCTAAAAAAGGATTTTACTTTGAAAAAAAGAATAAATTCATAAATTTTCTCTATCAATATTATGAATACATATTTTTCAGTTGCATTAATATTTAAAAAATTTAATTAAAATTTTTAGCTTATCATTATAAAATTTAATAATAATGTATTATTTAATTATAAAATTCACTTTTTATAATTATAATCACTAAATAATAAATTTCATGATATTTCACTCATAATATAATAATTTACATGTAAAAAATTATAACTGAATAATTAATAGTTGTTTTTTCCATCTACATGTAAAGTTTTATCTAATTAAATACTTTTAAAATAAACATCTCAAGATAATTAATATTAGTTTAGGGAGTTTATCAAACTTGAATTCTGGTTGGTAATGTTTATTATCTACAAAACAAATAAAATACCAAAATTAATTATTATTACACGTATAGTTATTTATAATTTTACCAACTTTCAAATAAATTGAAACATAAATCACTTGATGTTTATAAAAAATATTGAATACAATAGAATCACAATATATGCCTCAAGAGAATGAATAAGTTCATGAAAATTAATTTAATTATTGATATATGTTTGAGAATTTTATGATAAATGATAATACATAAATGATACTTGATACATAATTAATAGATAAAAATTAAGTGAAATATGGATGATTTCTACTAAAAATGAAAAAAAAAAAAAAAAACTGAGAAATGGAGGAGGCAGAGAGCACACCATGCAAGAGGGAATGGGAGGAAAAATGAAAGCAGTGCTAGCTCGATTGAGTTTGGGGTATATATAAGCCTTGAGCATCATATACCACGTTACTAAAAGGTTTTCTCCAATCAACAACCTATCTTATGTTGTTAAAACTTGATTCAATTTAAAATGGTATAACTCATCACCGACATATACCTTTTTGCTAAAAATTCAAATTTCCCTTCCCACCCATTGTGTGAAAGACATGTTTTGATGATATAGCAGATTTTGGACTTTCATATCATATATTTCCATAATTTTACAACCAAACTTAAATCATTTTAATTAATTAATACATTAAAAAAAATTACCTAAATACCCCATCTTCATACTCTAACTCCTTTCTCTCAACTCTGATCATCCCCCACCACTCCTCACCATTTTCAACCTTTTTCTCTCTCCCTCTTGAAATCCTCCACTCTTTCTCTATCTTCTCTGATCATCATCGTCCTACCCTTCTTTTCCTCTAGTGACGTCTTCATCCATTGTTTCCTCTCTTTCATCGTTCCTCATCACCGTCTCACTTTTTTTTTGCCTCCTATGATTCTAATCTCAGCCAGACACTCACCTCATCCCTAATTCACCTAAATCCTTCAGAACCCAGGTGGGTTCTCATCAGGAGAACTAGATTTGGGTTCTCCATGAGCTCAAATC